TGGAGACAAAATAAATTCAAAAACTTCGGACAAAACGGCACTAGAACCATTTCAAACAACGGTAATGGCAAGTTCCAGCACAGGCGCGACGCTCACAGACACATCGAATCCAAGGTTATTGTCATTAGCAGCCACTGCAACTAATCTCTTGGATGAAGGAGAAACGATGCGGGAAAGCAGTCGCAGTGCTATGGTACATAGTCCCCTACGAGGTAACTGCGTTGTGCAACATATATTCATGTGTCGTGTCACTTACATTTAGCAAAAGCTGTCCAAAACTGAAAAGTAAACAGACGTGCTAATATTTCACTAAAAATTTGCGAATTACTCTGCAAGTCGTGGACGAAGTGAAACTTACATTTTTTACACTACCAAAACATTAAGGACTTGGCTAAGTTTACAGATAAAGTGGAGGGAGCAAGAAGGCACGGGCAAATTTTAAAATTATAAGTTTTAAACTGAAATTTTCTTCCCCCTCAAAATTTCAGCTTTCCAGCTTTTCTCGTTTTCGATTTAGCAATTTTGTTGCCGAAAATTTCACGTGCCTGTACGCGGGGCTCAGATGTGCGTGAAAGATGGTGCTATGTTCGTGGGGTCACAAGTGACCAGGGAACCCACCGGCAAAGTTCCAGCGTCGAAGCTTGCCTGGTTGGCGAGTTGAAATACTCGGACACACACATACACACACGCCGCGCATCGTCACAGTCTGCGCTTTTGCACACAAACGCATATTCTGAGGACTCGTGGTGTATCTCTATGTGTGTGTGTGTGTGTGTGTATTTGTCACCAAGTATTTCAACTCAACAACCAAGTAAGCCTAGAAGCTCAAGTTTTGTCAGTGTGTTCATTGATCAAGCGCCACCCAGGAACGTGACATCAACTTTCATGCACATCTGGACCTTACATATGGACACATGAAAGTCTCGGTAGAAAAACAGAGATTTGAAGTTTAGCTATCGCGCACGTTTGCATCGCGCATACAGTCACGTCAAAATTCGCAGGTGGCACGGCGCCAACTCGGAAGAACGATAGCTGTAATTTTTTAGAATATTTACTGTGTCTAAATGGAATTTCGACTTGCACCTGCACAACGTTTTGGGCATTTCGAAGATATTTGTGCCGAATTGGGATTTCGAGTACCGGACAAACTACGAAACTGAGATTTTACAAAGATATTCTATATTAATGTATGATCTGAATTCATCTTGGTAACTAAATTTTCTACACACGAACATGACAAATGCTCCGGTCTGTCTCAACCTCAAAAAGTGCAGAGTTAGTGGTACTTGAAAGAGGGCATGAAACAGAGATGGAACAAGTGATGGAAGCAGCATTTAGCAGAACACATTCGTGATCTGTTTAACAATTAAACTTACAAAACTAAAACTTCTCTTCAGTATATGCAAAACCGCAGTCTGCCAACTAAGCTGGACTCAGTTTTGCCAAATTCTGATAGATGCAAGCTTGTTGGCGGCTCCGACAAGATCATTAGTGTCAGCAAGTTTTCCTAATGACGCACATTTTGAAGCTAGCATTGTAAGCACGATCATGACATTGTCGATTACGGATGCACCAATTACTCCATTGATCCAGCAACAACGAGGGTAAGTTAAGTGATACTCACAAATCACTTCACTGCAGTGCGCGCTTGCACTAATTGCTTATTTACTGTTCATTCCTGAGCGCTAATCAACACAATACCTCAGTTTAGTAGCCAGCTTGCATGTTCAGAACCCACACTTTCTTTGCACTGCACTGTCCAGGATGCACCTCCGTGTTGCTTTTAAAAACAACGGCATGTGTAAAGAAACGGCTGTGTTGATCGTTGTTGTCATTCCTAACTTGCAGTCAGACCACCCTGCAGCGGGAGGGTTTCTGGGGGGAACTGTTTCCGCATCGATGATTCCGAAGCGCACGTAGCTTGTTGTATTCGGGAGATAATAGCGCATCACAAATCGCTGCGTTACTCCCCTCCTTGGCACCCATAATCGGGAGGGTCAGTGTTCCGTCACGGATAAAAAAGGTTTCAACAAAATGCGCAAATACGTGCAGATGCAATTGTTCTAAACAAACATGTGAGCAAAAATTTGCGTCGAATGATTGAAATTAGACATATGTCCATTCAACAAACAGCAGGTGGGAGGCATGCTAATGATTCCCGCTTCGTTCTGCACGCAGCTTTTTTTCTGTACTTGCGGCAAAGGGATAAACCACAGAGCTGCTTTCCTACGCCTTTCAAATATATGACTTGTAATTTCTGTGCCTTCCACTTTAATATTTTACGGTTGGTTCGTGAGAATGAATGCAGTAAACGAGTTGCGGGAAAAAAAGATGTATGGTGGAGCTGTGCTGAATTACTGCTTTTG